ATTGACCAACCTGACGAAAGAATTAAATTCACAATGGAGGTGGAAGAGGATGAACGGCTAAACTTTCTGGATATTGAAGTCATACGCTCCAAGGGGAGACTCATGAGAAGACTATACAAAAAACATTCGTATGCGGAAATAATCCTTAATTTTCAGTCTCATCATAACTAGATGGAAGATCGAAATATTGAGGAATTTAGTCACCAAAAGTTTACGACTAACGGACAATGAGTACTGGGACGAGGAGTTGGACAAACTGACAAGGATTTGCCTTAAAAACATATATCCTAGAGCATTTATAGAAAAAAAATGCAGAGTTGATAAAGGGCTGATTTCAACTTGGATTTTATGAAAATCAGATCAGGAATCAGGAGGGCAAACAGTAGTCGATTTTCCTGCCCTCATCAGAACTGAGCCAACAATTGCGACCTTTACTAAGGAAATGGAATATCAGGTTGATAACAAAGGAGAATAAAACATTTTTCACAAGTCTGCCGACGCAACACGAAAAGACGGACAAACTTTATTGTTTGGGAGTTTATCGCATCAAATGCGGAAAATGTAACAGAAGGTCAAACAACTTCTATAACAAGTTAATTAGCTCACCCTGCGCATCTTAACTCCAGGTTGTGTGCTCCCGGACTCTTTGTCTTGTATCACAGCCAGATGGACAGATGGTGTGGAGGCTACTGAAATCAAGCGACCTCGAGCACTCAATATTGAGAAACCAAGGGCTGTCGCAGCTTTCACTTTTCCTGAGGAGATATTCTGACGGGCTTGTTTTATATTACATTCCTCTTTATTAGCTCCAAATGCTAACTCTTCTACGCCTGTATCAGTGACATTGATGGGAACTGTTATTAGGCTACTGAACGTCCCAGTGGTCGTCTTTGCACCAACGGTAATTGTATGAGGGGTTCCCGACCGGATGTGAGTCTGTAAGCCCGTCAAAGATAAAGTTTGCCCAATAAGAGGCTGAGCTCGAGGACTAGCTTCTTGAGTTGTCTGTGTAGGCCTTTGTGGGGCTTGTTGTATAATAAGCTGGTTCTGACTCAATTCCGATTGCAATTGCTGTTGCTTTTTCTTTTTCTTACGTGACCCCCCAAACCCTAAGCCTATACCGGAAGGGGAACCTGATAAACGTTTAAGAATACTAGGGCTGGACTTTCGTCGAATGCCGGTGTTATGTTCTTTCAAAGACTCAGTCGGTGGTCGAGCCATAGTGGTTTGTTCACCGGCAAATAGATGACCTCTTTCAAGTACATTGCCAGAAGTAGGGGAAGGAAACAACGAAGAAACGCTCGGGGAAGCAGAGCGACGATGCATAGGGACCTAAAGTTGAGGATAGAGGGAAGATTCAGAATCAATGGTTGTCGTGAAAGTAGTTATAAAAGGGAAGCAAGAATAGTTTTAACAATAATTTTACTGATTAATAGTAGCTCTATTGCTTATGTAAGAGTATGGAATGTGTATGATGAAATAAAAAAAGTAATAAATGCATGGAAAAGGAAATGAACTATTTATACAATGTGTCTAGAGCCATAGGCCTACTTTACTCTCCCCTATTAAATAAGGGGATGTGTAAACATGGCATAGTTAAATAAAC